TGTCAGCCGGGCGGACACGAAAGTTAATTAACCCCTTACAGCTTGTAGTAGGCGGGACGGACATTTAAGCCGGATTATCTGAAAGTAATCTAGTGAGACTTCCCGCGGGGATAGATCGATCTAAAATCTATGGGAATAGAGCCTAAGACGACATCTACATTCCTGACCTTCACCGAGCAAGGTCTTGTTTGTCACGTCACGACGTCGGTGTTTTGCATCACAGTGCGGGTCCTGTGTCGTGTATAATACAGATGTTGCGAGCTGACATGGCTACCAGAGAAGACCTAGAAAACAATTACTACACAAAGCACGCTTTAGATATACTTTTATTTAGGGGGTTTTATCATCTTTAAGGTCTGAATTAAGAAATACAGGAGTTTCTCAGGATAAAATTTGACTGTGTGGAATTTCAGACGAGTTCTGTTTCATCATTGGAGACCAATGTTCAGTTTTTTATTTCCCTTGATACCTAAATGGTTTTGGATTTGTCTGTTAATATCCTGTATTTATTCGAACACTTTTTGATAGTGTTACGGTACATTTGATTAACCCGCTGCTCGTGCGCTTTAATTTTTTTTTCGAAACTTTTTTTTTTTTGGTTTTCGAAAGGGGAGCAACTCGATCTGCATGAATTTTTGTTTGAAATAATGATTTCCCTTTTAGTATTAAATGAATAGAGAAGCAGATGTACGTAGTATGGAGAATTCCATCACGGTCAAATTTCAGATTTGATGTTCCTAGGAGCCAATTTGGGAGAGAAGTTCACATCAAATCAATTTTCGCAGTCCTTTCATCTTCTCTGCAAATCCTTTAAAACTTGAACAATTAGCAACTTTACACCCGTTGAAATTTTGACCCACAAAAAATTATTTAGGATAGACAGTTTAATATCACAAAAGGTTTAACAACAGGCAATAAACTCATTCTGCCTACTGAACACTGAACGTCTCTTGTATATATGAAAATATACTCGTCAGTATAAGAGCACTGTGAGTGTTCTACAAACAAGGCGACATAAAGGAGATAACAAATCTTTATATGAGATTTAAAATTTAGCAGTAAATACATTGTAAACAACACAGAAATATAATAAATTCCATTTTACCACCAAAATGGCGATTATCAAAATCATTCTGAAATATGTGTTTGCCATCGGACCACGTGGACCTATAATAATAATAATAATAATAATAATAATAATAATAATAATAATAATAAAAATAAAATATGCATTCAAAGTTTACCAGTAAAATCCATAAAACTGTGTTAATAACACTCCACCAGATTTCTAAAAAAACATGACCACAAAAATAACATTTAAAAAACATATACATGCTAAAAAAACTTCATATTATCAATAAATTGTTGAACATTTTAAAAATATAAACAAATTCATGAATAAACATTTTAAACTGTTTTTTCAGCTCCTTTTTAAATGAATCCAGTGATAATATTTATCTCCCATAAAGCGACAGCTTATTCCACTCCACCGGTTCATCTATATAAAATGCTTTACTTTTTTGAATGAAGAAGTCATAAAAATAGTATCTGTCAAGGGGCAATTATTAGAAACTACACAACGTTTATCATTCTAAATAGGTACCCGGTAGATAGCCTACCTGTAGGTAGATGTTGGCCTACAATTTACAGATGCAGGTGTATATAGTCACTACCTTAGTTGAGTAGGCCCTACTGGTACCTTAAATGTCAGTGTAATGTTATCGTGTAAAATCAGGTCAAAGTTCCGTTTTCATTCTAGTCTAGTTTAAAAGAACAGCCTTTTTGGCTGAAAAAGTCCTTTATGACGTAGGTTTATGTCATTTCTTCAGTTGGGCCACTAGGGGAATAGAATTTTCCACTTTCTCCAATTAACCCCCCCCCCCCCCCCCATATTCAAATTTTTTGACTGTCTGAATTTTGTTTGTGAACAACAAGAGGATGCGATTCAACGCCCTCATTGTCGCTCTTCCTTTTGTCTGCATTATTAACAAACGTCGAATCGGTGCTCGAATACAAATTCGTATTGCCCGCAGTGCCGAGTTTACCTATTTTCTTTTTACACAGACAACGATAAAAAATGCGCCGAAATTCTCGTCTGAAATCGGCTGAAGCAAAATTGTAAATTATGGGATTTACTGCAGAATTACTGAATGACAAAAGCGTGAAAACCCGAAACAACTCAGGAGGCGCTTTGATTTCGACCCCCATGTTGCGAAGAAGACTCCATATATTGCTAGGTGCCCAACAAATTTCAAACACCAAAACCACTACAGCTACGACAAAAACGACTTTCTTCGTCTCAGCGATGCTCCCTTCGCTGTAGCTGCCATTCTTTCGTGCTGCTGCGCGCAGCCTGTCATGTCGACGCATCACGACGACAATCAGGACCGATAAAACGACAATCGCAAATGACGGTAGGGCAAAATTCATAACAAACTTGAAGATGGCCAGCCCTTCGAAAAACCCCTCCGGAAATTCTGGGACATCGTCTGTGCATCCCCCATCATCATAGGATTTAAAATACACAGCATAAGGGATGTTGATAGAAAGCGCAAAAACCCAGATTGCGCCACTAGTGAGTGTTGCATTCTTCTTCGTCAAAATCGAGGCAGATTTTAAAGGATTGGACGTTGCCAGGCATCGAAACAAGCAGATGGCAACTATTGAGTATATGCTGACCGCAACCGTGCTATACAACAAGTAAAACCCAGTTTTGCAGACAAATGTTGGTAATTGAACTCCAAACAGGTCCAGTAATAAAACTGGGCAACACACGATCACAAACATTAGGTCGGACAATGCTAGATTGAAGAACAATATATTGGCCACAGTGCGCATGGAACTCTCCGTGAAGATCACCAGCAAGACAAGAGAGTTCCCGAAAATTCCCACCACCGTGACAATTACTAATACTGCCGCAGTAACGATTTGCAAGGTTGTTTCAGGGTCATTTTGTCCAGTTTCTGTTGTGTCACCGCTTGACCCGTTAATGGTGACGTTTGTCACGTACGTCAAGTTGACAGGATCGGACATTGTAAGACTTGGTTTGTGCTTGGCCGTTGATTTTCTTTTCTTTAAGCAACGTTTGGGTTTTTTCCCGTCTTGATTCCTTGGGCCTGCAGTTACATGTACAATATAAAAACGTACGACAGGAACCGGAACTACATTTGCCTTGAAATAACTTGCTATATTATATTATTTTCATTTTTGCAGAACAAAGATCTTTCCGTTGTTTGTTTTTTTTCCCTTTTTTTTCTTTGTTTTCTCCAAGTTCTACAGTTTCATATAGGCCGGTCTCATAACACTGTGTTACTCGGGTTTATCCATTGGACGTCTTGTTTCCTGATCGTTTAGCTGAATGTTAGCGTCTGAAAACAAAGTAAAATTATTGTAAACAATTGACATATAAATGTGAAGGCCTAATGCCGATTTCAAGTACAGATTGCGTGGACACTATGTGCGACACTGTAGATTTTCAGCCCTTTTTTCAAGCATGTTAACAAAAAGGAAAAAACTGATGAAACTCTATCCAATCTAACACAGTGCATGCTCTCACGTTGGCATCGTATCAATTTTCGTTTCCCTTGCGACAAGAAAAGCATCTTGCCTTAAAGAAAACTAGACACAGGCTACATGTATATGTACATGTATCCTCTTCTAGGGCCACGGATTATATAAATTTACACTATATATTTAAAGATAGTTCCTGGCCAATTCATGACTCAAATCTGGCGATGAAGAAAAGTGCACATTATTTAATCAATGGCTCTAGGTAGACGGTAGACACAGGCCATGGCCACGTAACTCGAAAGCATCGAGTATTGCGAATAGCGATATCACAAAGAGGCTACATTGTATCATACGGGGCGAGTATGGGCGAGTTATGGAATCGAGACGCTTGCCCTCGGTCGCAATGCTCGATGCTTTCGAGCTACGGGGCCCTGATTCCCAGCTTGTCGTGTGATATCGGAGCCATGACGACGGTTAACATACCAGTAGGTTGCCATAGTTCCACCTAAGCATCCAACTCAAACAACAAGCCCTAACTTGTACTTTGTACCAGAACCATGTACTATGGTGCTTCCACGCAAAACAACAAGGACTCAATATACATGTATATACATGTATGAACGTTGGGTTTATAGAATACAAACAAGTTATCTCTCCAATGTTTGCATTCCAGTGGAAATTAACACATTCCTCATAAAACTTTGGCATACCAGTAGTTCCTGTCTATATGGTAAAGCCGGTCTAATACTACCCTCTACCAGAGCGACAGATTGATTTTTCACAAGATATTTACAGATTTGTCTCTGGCTTTTCCAAGATTTCCCTACAGTGCATAATACCTGTCACCCTGGTAGAGGGTAGCTTAGTACCACGGTTCTGAGTTAATTAAACCAATGATTCTCCATTTGCTGACGAAAGATCACAAAAGTGAGGTAGATATCTCCTTTTTGGAGATAAAAAACCCTTAATCAGCAGCTGAGAGGTACACAACTCAACGTTTGTCGTCTCCGGTATCATGAATTTTTTCTTCCATTTCTTTTCATGCAACATAACATTTTAGTTACCAGTAAAATACACACAAACATGTACCAGTACATTTCTGAATCCGTTGAAATAGAAACCGCTCTCTTGAGTCGATTTTGGGTTAAGAAAAGAATTAGCATTATAGTTTAGACGGCTTTTTTATAGCCACCAAAGGATATGTGAAGAAGCAGCGCGCACTAACCGTTGCACGAAGCTGGAGAAAACAGGAGAACAAGCAATTTTAATTTTAATTTAAAAACCACACGAAAGACAAAAGAAAATTTCACGAACAAACAGCATCCCATCAAGATTCTTACAAGGACTGAACACAGTCAGATTTCATCAGGGAATGAGGTTGTGACAGGTACGCAAACATGCCTCAAATCTGCTTCGATTTGGGAGCTACCTCATTCCCTGATGAAATCTGAATGCAAGCAGATGAAATATTGGATGGTAAGATCAAACTAATATAAATAGCTATAGACAAAATAATCTTCACAAGTCTATTACAATAACATAGCTAATGAAACTGTTCGACAACAATCGAGTAATAGTAAACTTATGCTAGGAGTGTTCGAAAATATTTTTCACTAAAAAATAAACTGGACGGCATAATACATGTAACCCGGGTGGGGCAAATATTCATAGACGTAGGCGTCCGCGTAGGCGTCCGCGACTTAAGGCTCTGCTTATTTTGAATTCTATGTCTCTTTTATCAGATGTTGTTTACTCAACTTGTCCCTAAACACGAATACTGTCCAGAATATAATTTCATGTGATTCTCTACTCGATACCCAATATAATTGTAAACCAGAGTCAGCTGCGAAAGCCAAGTTATTCCATTATACGATACCCTATCCTGCCCTACCCTAAGCTAAATAAACCCCACCCTACCCTACCCTACCCTACCCTACCCTACTCCCCATGTCAGGGGCGGTTTCAGGGCGTCTTCTGGGTCTTCCAGAAGACGGTCAGATTTTCAAGTTTACATTGACGGGTAGGCCTATGTAATTTTTTCTGTCGGAAGACGGTCAAAAATGAAGAACGGAGCAACAAAGATCATTTGGAAGACTGTCAGAAAATATCTCTGAATCCGCTCCTGTCATGTTATCCTACCCATAATATATATATATATATATATATATATATATATATATATATATATATATATATATATATATATATCATACTACCATTAGCTTACCTAACCGATCAATCAATCATAAAGCTGGTCGCCGATGTACCTTGTACACGGTACTAAAGAGCGACTGGAGACAATCAAACCGTCTGCTCTCTGTGGTGGTGGAGCGGTGATGGCTGACCACCCAGTGAATTCACGGTGAGGGGTCTAATAAAGATGCTAAGAGACTGTGTGGCGCTCAGCTGGACAGACAGTATACCAATAATAACATATGTACACTCCAGGGAGCGATACAGGGAGAGAGAAATAGATACTCCAAGGAATGGCAACTGTTCATTTTGGGGGAAAACATGCGATAAAGTGGATTTCCTGGACGTAAATGGCAATTTACCTATACTTTCCAAAGGTTAATGAATCTATTTCCACATTCAAAGTAAGTTGATGTATTGTGGAATTTCGAATACCACGTGAAGAGTTATTATTCCTTTTATGCCTGTTGTAAAGCAAATTACTTACACTTTTACTAATTACAGATAACAATTAAAGCGGAATCAAAAGAGTAAAAGGACAGATAGTTATTGAGTGTAAGTTAAGTTTCTCCAAGAGTCAACAAGTGTAGAACATGTTTTTAGTGTCAGAAAAAGATGGAAAAGGTCAAAGTCAGTAACAGTTAATGTGATTGGTTAATTTCATAACATATAATAATTTTGATCATCTATTTATCACATGATAGCTGAGTTTTGGATAAAGTCCAAGCATGAGTAATCCAAATAATATTTTAGATATCTTTAATTGAAAACAAGTTTCTTAGGTATTACCTAATAAGGAAATGTTGCATAGTGACTTGCAACATGCGAATGGAAAATATTTTGTAATCACGTAAAGACAATGGAAAAGAAAACAAGTAAATGCGTGATCAGTACGGAGAAATTGAATATAAATATTTGTGAAGTTGTATGAAGCGAGAGTCGGTGAATAAACGTTCGGAAGCTCCAAACTGCTGTCGTCATTTCTCACTATAACAGCCTCGCTCTGTAATGGCAAGGAGCTACCGTACTGCTATCTTATGTTTGGTCTCAGGTATGTTCGGACATCACTCTATACCAGAGGCCATTTAAAATTATTTCCAAAAAAATGCTGGTTGGACACAGTAGCAAATGTCATGGGTTAGCCAAGGATATTTGTGAATATCTAGTTTAAAAAATTAATCCGTGGCCCTGGTAAAGGGTACCCCGTTGTAGGCACATTGCGCATATATAGACGCTGTTCACATACTTCCCATGATAATTGATTAAGGAAATCAGACGCAAAATATACTGTCCTCAAACTAAGAACTGTTACATATTCACAGCTACACTGTGGGTAATAAATGCTTTTAAGGTTTAATGTGCTTTCCCTCTAGTGTGATTTAAAATATGATTTTAAATGCATTATAAATATCTTCATTGTACCAATTAAAGAGCACTATTTTAAATCTAAACACTTTCACAAATAAATAACCGTTTAACAGCTTTAATTTTACTTAATGGATTAGTGAATTGTATAGATGTCAATAGTTTTATTATGGTACAATCCAACTTCATTTAATTACAAATAAACATCTTCATTACATATCAGTTGGGGCCAGGGGATAAATTGTGAAAACAAATTGGAGGGGGGGGGGATTTATAAAGTGTTCCCCTTTTCCATTCTCTTGGTCCATCTCAAACTTTTCCTTCAGTCAGCTGATGTGCGGTGTTAGTACGATCATAGGCCCACATTAGAGCCGTTGTTAATGGTTTGTCCTACCCTCTACCAGGGCCACAGGTTGATTTTTCACTAGATATTCACAGATAATGTCGGGCTAAATATGGTCAATCTTCTAACTGTGGCTGGTGGAAAATGTGCCTATAATATCTGCTGCCGTGGTAGAGGGTAGGTTTGATTCTATAGCGTCACAGGTGGAGTCAAAATCAGCGTAATCTCAGTAATCTCGGTGTAAAACAAAACGAAAGTAAAAGCATCTGAAATCATCTAACTAGGAACGTTCCGGGAAGTTTTATCAATAAAATCGACCAAATTTAAATTAATTCAGTGGCTTTCCCGCCATAACACCACGTCATACAGTGGCGGAGTTACAGGTTTCTGAAAAAACGAGCACACACACACACTAATTTTCTTCTCTTGAAATCAAAATTTTGACTATCTGATTCATAGTTCTAAAACGTACAAAATGGCACTATTTGCCCCCCCCCCTCCAAAAAAAAAAAAAAAAAAAAAAAAAATATATATATATATATATATATATATATATATAGCAAGGGGCCGAGGGTCGGCTTCTTATCCGAAACCTGGCATAATAATAATGATAAATCGCCCCCCCCCCCCTTCAAATAATCCTGGATCCACTCCTGCAGTATATGTGTAGGTAGGAGCTACCTAGTTTACCAACTAGAGCATTAAGACTCTGTGTGTGTGTGTGCCATAGTTCTATTTTTTGTCTATTTCTGTCTTATTGAAATTTAAAGAAAAAGCCTCAACTTACTCAAGTTCTATACAAGACGCAGCCACCCTAAGCATTGGTAATATGCGTATAATACCACAACCACGACACGTGCCAGTGAGTCCCTTTGTACAAAAGTTTCAGATTATAAATTGATTTGGGAGAAGAGCGAGCTGTCAGTGAAAAAATAACATTTACATGTAACTCAGGATGCACTGTTTGACTTATTGGCTATTAATGATATAGCAAACCAAGCAATCTGCAACCTTGCGAAAACTAAAAGCATTTTTAACGATTTTGTTATGCATCAGATGACAGACGTGACAAAACTTTATACAGTCATCCGGTGTGTTCATCATTTATCTTTTATCTCTCTGGATATGTGCATTTGAAAGACTAGCATGTCACTGCAAACTTGATGTCAGTGACCCCACCGACAGTTAAATGTCGCTTTAAAAGTTGCCATACAAGTGTCCTCTAGTACGGTAACTACAAAAGAGATAGGGCTCATTCGCAATGAAACTATCGGACTAGACCGTTCCAGTACCGCGGGGACTCTCGCTGATTGCAATCAGGCTAACAGATTAACACGCATCCTCTTGTTTCAAACATGCTCGCCGTATCACCAAGTTTTCTGTGTTCTACTCAACGCCAGGGGGAGGCGTGTTGATCGGTCAATGCGATTGTATCCGGCGAGATATCTCGAGAAGTTGGACAGATCTGCGTAGAACGATTTTTTCATTGGGAATGGGCTTTCAGGTCGACTTCTCTTGTCCTGGCAAATCCGCATACTATGTTAGACATCAGCAATCACTTCGCCTGTGCGATCAGTATTGGTTATTGTTTTAAACGAGAATACTTCCGCCATATCACGGTGGTTACTAATTCAATTAACTGTGATCTATAATCACTTGGACCACGTAGATTGTTTTTTTATTCAATTTGCGCAACAACACACCGTTGGATATAATGTTATATTGATTATGAAAAATTATACATTAGCGGTTCAATTGCTGGATGTTCCGGAGAAATGAATGAAAGGAGTAATTATTAAAACGTAACAGACATATACGTACTTCCGTCCAACCACACTAATTTTACATGTAGACCGCCAAATAAAAGGAATCCATAAACCTTTTTTAGACTTGTTAATCTGACTGTATATGGAATGCCTTTGCTTAAGTGTAAATCGTATTGGACTGAGGGGTGTAGTCTTTGAGTGATTTCTCGTGAATCGTTAATTAATACATTTTTCTTTAATGTCTTTTGATACATTGGTCATGTTTTTTTTTTTTAACTGAGTGACACGCCTTAACCAAGTAAAAAAAATGGTCCCCAATTATGAACAGGTTACAAGTACGGAGCATTTACTGTGAGGGTGCTAGGATATCGTTTGATCAGATTTTCGACGCCAGTATTGCTGGCTTAGAGCGCATTCAGAACAGTGGACTAACAGATCCGCGGATCAAATATGGCGACAATTTTAAAAGCTTGTCGCTTAATTCCCGATTACCCGATTGGCCACTAGATAGGGTTCCCGGGGGATTACGCAACAAGCATTCTATAGTGGGTCGGCCATTTTTGATCCGCGGATCTGTTATTCTGTTGTTCTGAATGCGCTCTTACGGCACAAAAAAAAAAAAAAAAAATGACAAGGTCAAGGAAGTACACTGCATATAGATGTGTCCCTTATGGTTTATTACACGATGTACACTGGTACGTGTCCTGGTCATGACCTAAACTCTACAAATCCTAAAAATAAAGTTTATAAGCATACCTGGAAACATTTGGCACAGCTAAATTTTATAGAATGTAAGTGCTTTTGAAAGTTGTAAAGGTAGGCCTAGGTGTGACAGGTATGGTAGTACGGGTTCCCATATGATTAATACAGGTTAGGGTAAGTTGGAGTATTGGGGTTGGTATATGGGACAAATGTCACCTGTACAAAGTAATGGGAAGAGAACTAATGTTACTGGCGGACTACCATTCCTGTCACACGGGGTCAGTTTGTACTTACTTTTTCGGAACACTCGATGTGAGCACGTTTTTAAATTTTCAATTTCAATTTCTTCTTCATCTGTGGTCCTATTCCAAGTTATTCTAACAACTAGTCGTGTTCTGCTATGATCTGTAACAAGAAGAGATTGCACGCTGTAGATAATGCTCGGACTATATATACCCCGGTTCATGTGCATGTAGTACTAATATCACTCGAGATGCGGCGAAATCCAAGAATGACCGTAACATTTGCGCTTCACCTGTGAGGTGCCACTCACTCTCACAATTTCGGGTTACTTTACCTGGTGCTGTTAATAAGGCTGGCTCACTTACCTTCGGTATCTTTCTATTACAGGGGCTGTTCAGAAGCGGACACTCGCACTGATTCTCTCTCTACTGGCAGGCACAGTGCTGCGTCGACAGCATTTCATCGCCTCGTGAGCCGCTTGCTTCCCCTACTCCTTGTGTCTGGGGTTGTGCATTGATGTCCTTTTTACAGCGCCAGCGTTTTATACCCGGGTTGTCTTACTGTCAACCACATTTCTGATTGGTGCTCTGTCAGAACTTTATGGTGGTCTGACCTATTTTTCTTTTTCCTACTATTATTATAATTAATTTCATGATCTTGTGTGGCAATGCGGAAAAACTACGTTTTGTTATGTTGAATAAGAAGCGGGGAGTGTTTCACAGACTAACTGAATTGATTGATATGACCTCACTGTACTTAAGCGGAGAATATATAATGTAAACGGGAGAGAGCAATGCAAGAGGTTGAAGGGAGAGGAAGAAAAAGTAGATAAGGTAGCTGGGAAGTGACAGTTAAGAAAGGAGGGAACATGAAAGTTGTTTAGTTCTTACCTTGCGTAAGATAAAGACAAGAACTTCGTCACAGGTTTACAGCACGGTCCAATGGTATTTAATTCAATTGGAACTGGATATGGTTTTGCGCATCGTTTCCAATACGCAACTTTTATAATTGGAATCAATTTAACTTTTCCAAACTCCAAAGTCACAAGGGACGGGGTTGGGGTGGGGTTATATCTGATGCGGTGGGAAGGTCATATCTGATGCGAAATTCAGTCTCTGCGTTATCGATGCAAATTGCAAATTGGTTTTGATTATTTTCCGGTTTCAAGTTAGACGCGGTTCGAACAACAGAACTGCTGGTTTATGTTAATTTCCCAGCATATCAGAGCAAACACCGAATCGCATTCCACAAACTGATGAAACCCAAAACCATAATTAAGCCATTAAGCCCATGTATTGACAAACGAAGTGAAAGAGATTTTGATAAGTAACATTAAAAATGAAAAAAAATATCATCACATCAGATAAAAGTGAAAGCAAGCAATTCCCAGATGTATTCACACTAGACTACGCTAGACCGAATCTGACTCGTCATCATTTCTTTCTGCAATCAAGTTGGCGTGCGCAATTTGAGCTTCCATAGATAGCGACCCGTTCCGCGTCCTCGTTGGACTGATTGCAGTGGTCCTTTGCCAACAACGGCTCGTTTATATTAAGAATGTATCTTAGTCACAGAGACCGTTCTTTTCCGTGTTGATCTAAACCCGGTATAGCAGATTTTTTTGCCTTTTTATCAATTTGTGCACATAATCAACCCACATCAAAAATTTATGCTTCAGCCTGGAGTGATTTTCACAAAACATCTCAATTAAAAAATATTGGAAAGATATTTTACATTAATGGACTAAAAGCTTCCTGGATATGCGTTCTCTACGATGGAAATCATTTGTACTGGGAAAATTACCTTTTATCATTGCTACATTATTAATTGCATACTTAAAAGTCAAAAATGAAAAACAAAGCAAATCCTTTGACTCTTTCTCGGCTGCCATAATTTTTTCACCTTGTACAGCCCATTTTGTTAAGGTACCATTTTAAGCTAAAACCAGAGGTATTATATTTGGGCTGTTGCAGAAAAAATCAATTGTGACGCTAATTGCTCGGCGTGACTGTTACATTGTTAAAAAAAAGCAAAATTTTTCCTTGTCGGTGGTAACCGGCTTAAAGTAACCTGATGTTTATTTATACCACACGTTTCCTCTCAATTTTGATCAAATATACAGGCAGATTAACACAATAGTCCGTTCTTTACAGCGTTTCGATAAAAGTACATGGAGAGAGCTTTTGTCGTACCCTCCACCAGGATTGATTTTTCACTGGATATTCACAGATATGTCTCTAGTTAAATGTTAGGGCCTTTCTGCGTTAGACAAAAATGCACATAATAATAATCTGCGGCTCTGGTAGAGGTAGTTTTGCCCGTGGTTGAGGACATGCCCCCAAACACAACGATTTCTGAAACTGCTTTATTAACAAATTGTTTCATACAATAGTAGAATTCTAATGAAGCAGTCTTTTCATGTGATCTAATATTCTATTTAAAAGTGTAGATGTATTCAAAATAAAACAGGTGCATTGAACGCGAGAAGTAGATTGGTCTGATTGACATCTCCCGCTGCTTTATACATGTATACCGTTTTCTGGATGTCATTATTGGCCTTCATTACGGCCTAGGCAATTTTAGCCGATTTTAGCATATCACAATAGATTTTGTCATCTTGGGTTATTCTCCTTGTCATCACAGTACTAATGAATGAAATAAGTTTCTGGACTGGTCCATTTTAGAACCATTAAAAGGGGCGGATCCAGAAATATTTTCTGACTGTCTTCCACATTATAATTGTTGTTCAACCCCCCTTTTTTGACCGTCTTCCGACAGAAAAAATTAGGTACTCATCAATGTAAACTTAGAAATTTGACCGTCTTCCGGAAGACCCAGAAGACTGCCTCAATCCGCCCCTGATTAAACAGACACGAGTATGACATACACATTTTCAGAGCGTCATGCTGAACAAAAGACTGCAAGTACGCACGCGTAAGCATGCACAGAAGAGGAAAGAAAAAAAAAAAAAAGAAAATAACGAAAAACATGTAGTGCTTTTCAGGTTACCCAGCCTGACTGGAATAACCCGTAGCTTTTGACGCTTCATTCTCCAGACAAAGGCTTTTTGCATTACTTCATGCATACAGTGAATCGACATGTATCACTTCAATAATTAAGATTCAATTTCTGGGAGCCTTTATTTTGTCTGAGAACAATTCCAGCGTAATTCGGAATAATTGCTTGAAGACATGTGGGATAAGGAGAATAGGGAGGCGTAAATGGTGATTCTTAATAGATCGATCGAAGAATGCTGAATGCAAATTATGTACCGAAGTCTAGATTGACTAAAATAAATAGCTTAAACTTTCCGTAAACGTGTATACATTATTCATCCTTCGATGCAGTCACCTATCTAATACGTAAAAAGGCATACAAAAGTTGCAATCCGGCAGGAGATGCAATGTATATTTCAAAATCATTCTTAATGTGTTATAGTCAATACTGTCCAATGAATATTTCTCCTCACCAATTGTTCATGCGAAAATCATTATTCATACGATTTATTGTGTTTTGTAGTGGGATGAGCTGTGATGTGTTTTTGCTAGCCTGTTGAAAAGGTTTGTAAAATGTAGTTGTTGAAAAAGTTGGCTCCTGTCTAGTAATGCAACACAAAACCAATATGCATCAGACTTTTATGAACATATTCCAGATAACAATATTACCCTTATTATTCTAATGCAATTATACTCTCGAGGGATATCTAGCATTGCAATGATAGTGTATCAGTATGGCTTTGAATTAGATGCGGTTTTGAAATTAAAACTGTTCCTGATCCAAAAGGCGTAATCAAACGGATAGCATGGCCTGACTTTACCTAGATTCAGGCATTCGCCCTGGGTCTGAAAATCTACTTGTCCCACTCCAAAATCAATGCCTCTGCGTCTCGTTGAAAAAAAAAACACTGAGTTTACTTCGGTCAAGTGATACATTAGCAAGTCCCTTGCGTTTGCGGGCAAGCATGAATTTAATTCTATAGCTAGTTGTCCGGTAGCAGAAAGCACTTGTGTCTGGCAAGCAACGTCAGTGGGTGCATGTATGTCGAGCCCTGTAGTAATAGTAGTAGTTTTACTGGGTATGTTACGTGTGCGAGCATTGCGTTGGGGGTGGGGAATCCTGCAGACCATCGGCAATTAAAAAAAAAACGTCGTGGTTATCCGTTATTAAGTCAATATTAAAAGTACTAAAAAGTAGAGATAGAAGAAATGTTATTTCGACGTATATTTCGTCCCCGAAAACAGTGTGATAAGCAAAAGTATTTGTCTAATAAGTGCACTGTAAAAACAGTGTTTAGCATTTAAATACATACAACACACGTTAGGCACCTATACGCATTTAGAAATCTGTGTAAATGCTTAACGCGTATAGCTTTTCAAACGTTTCACAGAAGGAAAAGCTAGACACGTTGGCATTGTTACACGTTTAGCTATGTGTTTAGCTTCACCGGCATATGATTCTATAACAAGTCTATCACAAGCTAAGCACATTGGCTAAGCACTTCCCCTGCTAAGTGCGTGAGACTGCTAAACATATGGAGCTGCTATAGGTGTGGAATTCCTTAACGCGTGGAGCTGCTAAACAACATGTTTAGCTTTTCAAGCTCGTCACAGAAAAAAATGCTTCACAATCCCATATATACGATCCCATAACAAGTTTATTACAAGACTCAACAATTTTGCTTAACACTTCCCCTTGTAAACATATGGGGCTGTTGGAGGCGAGAAGCAGCCTGCTCGAACGCGTTGTGTCCTTCCTTGCAGTAACGTGTGATTATTTAAAGTAGCGTTTTATAACATTCTGGAAAAACATTATTTAATGTTTTGAAAACTTTTTTTATTAATCACCAAAACACGTCTTATGCTGTATGAACTACAATTAGCGGTTAATCTCAAAATGGGCTTGGGTTAGTCGGCGACTAGAGCGGTGCGATTTGAAAAATATTCGGACTATCATTACCAAAATAACCAGCATGTGATGAAAGCTTAAATAAACAATTATAATGAATACCCCACCATCATCCTGATGTTCTGTTGTTCATCACTTCCGGAAAAAATAAATGAATATCAATACCTTAACGCATTTTATCAAAATATGAAAAAAATGTTTTAAAGTAAAAGTGATAGTTGTTTCGTGTCTTTAGTAAACTAGTGAATTTTCCTAACTTGTTTTTCAGAAATATATTCCAATTAACTTCCTCGCAAGGTCAGCTAACACAAGGATGAATAAGTCCCACTGTAAAGATGATGGTGTGAATCAACTATGTTGACAGTTCACGGTACACTGTTATAGATAGAGATATCTATAGCAGTTAAAGGTGACCGTTACTTCGCGCGCGCGCGCGCGCGCGCGAGTGTGTGTGTAGTGACTGAAACAGTTGAAAACGTTACAACCTTAAAGTTAAACAAATACACCCTACATTTATTAGGCGTGAAGCACGTCAAAGCGTGTAACATGTTAATAGGCTAAACGTGCTTAGGTGCTAAACGCGTGGAAAAAATGAGACAAAACAAGCGCTTAGAAATGTGTCTCGGAGCTAAACACTGTTTTTACAGTGAGAATACGCTTTTCTGCAAAAAGAACTGGCGGCTGCTGGGCTGTATCAATCAGTCAACACTGGTTAACGGGACGCAGATCTAATTATGTAAGTGGTCTTGTTATTTATCTCATCGCAATAATGTTTTTCAGCACATTTGTTGGCTTTGTAATATTAAATA